ACTTACTGAATGAGCCTAAGCTCTCAAGGAATTGGTATTGTGAATCATGTACTATACAATACATTCATGAATAAGGTAAAATTAGATAACATTAATTTCTAATTAAGTTATTTAAAGAAAACTGAGCTTTTTAGCCATTTTATCAGAGATTGTTATCAACATCCTGATTTCCTTTCGAGTTAGTGATAGCTATCAGCTACTGTCTTTAATGCCATATCTGAATAGCAAGTACAGCAGTAACAGTATGGTTCTAGCTAGCATGCAATGAAGTTCTTTTAATTAGTTTGAATCTGTATGATAAAGTATGATCAAGTCAATGACTTGTTTAAAGCCCTAAATTAATTAGAGAATTGATAGAGAGGTGAATTATTCTGATCACATATTTACACATAATTACATCTCTTAAAAGCAATTTTGGCTTGTTATACAATTTTCGGGTGGCACTTTCAGAGATTTGTGGCTTGGAAGAAGCCATATAATGAAGGGCACTTGTTGGGGGCCAATCTACTAGGGCAAACCATTCAAATCTCGACAACCATTGAAAGAGATTGATATCCACACCTGTGTTCTTACTGATGATTAGGAGCTTCCTTTAATACAATTGTCTGTTTCAGTAATGCCAGTACTCTTCAACCTTCTTATAATTAAGCCATCAGAGCTTCAATTCATGGCTTTTGAGGAGCAATATATTCCTTTCTTTTCTTTTAACAAACTGGTAACCTTCTAAAACTGTAGCAATTTCTTGTCTGAGTCTAGTACAATACAGTACTTCTGTCGTTGTTGCACGTCAATTTTAAACTACTAAAAGTCGAGTCCAGATTGATTTGCCAAATTTGACTTACCAAGCCAAGACACAAAGACAGTGACCAAACTTGAAGCATCGTCCAAGACCAAACTTCAAAATATGGAATCAATCAACAGTATGACATCACACACAGTGTGTGTGTGTGTAAGTATATATCACGTACGGTGGTTTTCGAGGTCTCCTCTGTAGTCGTATGTCAGATAAATCTTTCTTTCTTTGTTTGGGATGCTTTAGATGAATTGAGACAGTGAATATTTTCCACCCAGGGAAATGGTCAAGAAAGACCTTTTGATTTCCTTCGAAATCTCATGCACGTGGGAAGCTACCTTGAACTCGATGCACTTTCAGTATTTACTTCATCAGCTATATGCGTAGCCTACACGTTATCTTACAGATTCCCAGGAAGCAAGGAAGTCAATGATCAAGTCTTCTACCATGAAGGATCATGCATCTTGAATTTCATCCTTTCAAAGTACAAATTTGAACTTGAAGCTTTCTAGGAAAAACTAATTCCAAGTCTTAATTGTTTTGACATTCGGTGGAGACGACATTTAGCAGTAAAATCAATAATTCGATGAATAGTAGAGAGAGATTTGGATAGGTGATTGATGATAACATTGGAGCAAACAGTATCGTAGGAAGACAAATAAAAATGATAAATGAGCGTGCAAACATTGAGAAGAAGGCGTCGATCAAGCAGTCACATGGACAATATGCATGATCGATGTGAATTTAATGTTTAAGGTAGACCACCCCTTTCTGTGACATTTCTATGTGCCTTTCTAAATATTATTCTACCTCTTATATATGTATATATAAACTTGTGTATGAAGTTTGAAAATGGACAGCAAAATAATCACCTCCCTGTGCCTCCCTCCCTCCCTCCCTCTATACGTATAGGTTTATCATAACTCATAGAGACCAAGCTTTGAATTATTTCTTCGCAATCTGGAATTTCTTAATTTGTTCTATCCATAACAAGGAGTGTGATCAGAAGATGACGAAGGTAAATTCGGCAGTAGAATTGATATATATATATATAGAATCAATTTATGATGTATTTTCTTCTTCCTTCTGTTTTTCAATTTTCTTGTTGGGTACGTACTTGTGCAGCAAAAAATAGTGCTCAAGGTACAGATGAATTGCGAGAGATGGAGGACAGGCACTCAAGGTTTTGGCAGATGCGGATGGTAACTAAGTGGCTAAGTACTGTTGAACTGCTTTCAAATTAAAGGGCGAATTTTTTTTTTCCTTCTTAATTTTGCTTTCTCTGGGAACACGCATGTGAATGTCAACTATTAATTACTGTTGCATGCAGGTGTGAGTTTTATGGGATTAGAGGGTGAGAAGAAAGAAGATGTGGTGGTGATTGGAGGAGTTGATGCTGCCAAGTTAGCCAGCAGCTTAAGGAAGAAAGTTGGGCATACTGACATTGTCTCAGTGTTGCAGTATTAGTGGATAAGAAGTAGACAAGGCCCCCTTCCAATCTTGTTTGTTTGTTTGTGGTTTAGCCTTCTTCAAATAAGATTGCTAGTCTATGTTTTATTGGATCCTGTATGGTGTCAAGAGTACTTGTGATATATTATTATAGAGTTAACATTGATAAATTACGAACAGTAGAACATTACTAAATCAAAAGGGCTAAAACGTAGTTAAAGCTATTGCATTCTGATCCCACCTTATGCCCTTGTGATCGAGCGAGCAATCACTAGAAATGAATATCAAGGAAAATCTTGGCTCTAAGAATTTGGTTGCCTGGGGAGGTAGGTAGGGTAACACCCCTTTCATCACATATGCTTCCATAACACAATGTTGGAGATCATCATCAACTTTCAAGACTGATCAACGTAGTGAAGATAGATGTACTATATATGTATGTCCTATCCTGTCCGGTCTAAGTGCTCCTTCCATAAAACATTTGTGTCTTCTCTTACAAATTGGTCAGAGACATTAATTTCATTCTTGCATCTTTTATGGTTAATTAATCGGCAGCATGTGATCATTTTCAAGGTTCAGATGAACTGTGGGAAAAACAGGGTAGTCAAGGCTCGCACTGTTGTGACAGAAGCCTTCGGTATGGAAAAACAGTAGTGAACTCTTCAGCATTACAAGGAGATGAAAGAATTGTGGTGAGAGGAGATGGAATTGATGCAGCCCATTTGACATACTGCTTGAGGAGAAAAGTTAGGCATGCTGATATTATCAGCATCAAGCCCATGGAGTAGTAGAAACATGTCAATGCTACCAACAAATGGCCATGTATATATATATATAGAGCGCTGACCTCTATTAATCTCTAAGCCTTTTATCCGGAGAAGCTTCAAATTGTTAATAAAGAAGATCAGTAACAGTAATTAATTTTCCCCAGCAAGCCTTTCGTTTTCTTTCCAACCATGTACTAGTTAGTGTCTACTACTAATCTTTTACAGCAACGAAAAAGTGTAAATTTGTTTCTCAAGATGCTACCGATATATCTTTACCAAAATGGTCAGTTCAAGAAAGATTTACCAGTCTAACTTCTCAGGGAAACAAGTAGGATCTAACAAATACGTGTTTGGTTTAGCAGTGCGCCTAACCCTTAATATGCTGCGCCAGACCCCGACAAAATTATTCTTAGTTTTCCTATTGTTATGTCCACCAATTCCTAAGGAATAGACCTAGTCTTTCCAATGCTATGTTTATCACTCTCCATAAAAACAACTTGATCTTTCTAGTAATATATATATATATATACACTAATCTTTAAGGAATGAATTTGATCTTTATAATGTTATATACATCAATTTTTAAAAAGTAAATATAGTTTTTTTAATATTATATATATCATTTTTTATAAAATAATGGTCTTTCTAGTACTGTATATATACATCGATCTTTAAAGGATATATATAGTTTTTTCAATACTATATATACCACTCTTTATAAAATAAACTTAATCTCCTCGTTATTTTATATATTAATCTTTAAAAAATAAATATAGTTTCCTTGATGTTATATACATTGCTCTTTATAGGATGACTTGATGTCTCTAATGCTAAATATATCAATTATTAAGGGATAAATAATATAAATAATAACATTATTTAATCACTACTCTTAAATAAGATGAAAGCGGGTGTGAAGCACTTATATTTTATAAAAAAAATCATGATAAAATCTATGATAATATTCAAAAAATTACAAGTTTTAACTTTCTAAAAAACCTATAAATACTTAGAAATTACACGTAACCATTTAGGAGTTTTTATAAACAATAAACACAATATCTTTAATTTCTTAAAAAAATTTTAAATATAGATTCATAATATTTTATTTATGAAAAAATTTATTTCAATCCATAAACAAATCATTTCACATCTTTTTGGATTTATATATTATTTTTATAAAAGTAGAACTTGGTATTCTACCCGAATAAAGAAATTAATTAAATTATTTGTATATTATTATATTGATTATTGATGAATCAAAATTTTATTGATATATCTTTATCAAAAAAAAATTTATAATATAAAAAAGCATCTTTTAAAAAAATATTTTTTTCTCTTAAAAAAATTATCTGTTTAAAAAATTCCATTCCTAATCTACTAGGGATTTTTTGGGATGCAAAATCGTTCCCAATTCCACGCACAATAGTCACATTGTGATAAGGAAGTTGCTCCGTCGATAAAAATATCTGACTAGTTTTTTTTAATTAATGTTGGTGTCTAGATCCGTTTATCTACATCACAACTAATTCTATAAACCCGATCATATAAATCTCCGGTGTCATTATTAGAAATGGAGTCAATAGTAATCAATCAATGCAAAGGTCACCATGGCATCACTCCTTACCACAGTGTCGCCAAAAACTGTAGCAGAGCCATCACAACGTCCACGTGTACTGAACTCACCCTTCAATTCAGCTTCATCTCCACGCTCTTC